CATCAAGAACTTTCCACAGATGCAGATGCACAGAGGAGTTCTTCAAAAACAACCAAGACAGGTCAAGGAGAACAGTTGCAACTTGTCTTACCTAGTAGATGTAGAGGTGCAGTGCTGCGCAGTTTGCATGACAATGTTGGTCATCCAGGCAGAGACAGGACAGTTTCTCTCTAGAGGGAAAGATTCTACTGGCCTGGAATGACCAAAGATGTTGAAGTGCATGTGCAGTCCTGTGATCGTTGCATCAAACGTAAGACAACTACATCTCGAGCACCTCTGGTGAATATTACAACATCACAACCACTTGAACTTGTTTGTATGGACTTCCTTGGATTATAAACATCAAAGGGGGGCCAACAATATGTTCTCGTGGTAACCGATCACTTTACTAGGTATGCTCAAGCTTATCCTTGCAGGAACACCACTGCAAAGACAACGGCTGAACTCTTTTTCAACAACTTTGTTGTTCATTATGGCCTACCGAAGCGGATTCACTCTGATAAAGGAGCAAACTTTATTGGTACCCTGATGACTGAGCTTTGTAAAATGTTGAAGATTGAAAAATCTTCAACCACGCCTTACCATCCAATGGGCAACGGGATGTGTGAACGCTTTAACCGAACGTTGTGCAACATGCTAGGAACCTTGGATCCAGAAAGCAAGCGAGATTGGAAGACACATGTTGGTCCACTTGTGCATGCTTATAATTGCACTCAGCATGAATCTACGGGACAGTCTCCTTTCTTCTTGATGTTTGGTCGGCACCCAAGGCTTCCTGTTGACATAGCATTCGGGCTTGACATTGAGCCAAGCAAGCCCAAATCTGTCTTGAAGTATACAAAATCTTTACAGGATAGGTTAAAGCAGGCGTATGACCTTGCAGCAGAGATGGCAACCAAAGCTCAGGAAAGGCAGAAAACCAAATACGACCAGAAGGCAAGAGCGGCAGTACTGGAGACTGGTGACAGAGTCCTTGTGAAGATTGTTGCCTACGATGGTCGTCACAAGCTTGCTGACAGGTGGGAGAATGATGTCTATGCAGTGTTGGACAAGCCAAATCCATCTTCTGTCCCAGTCTACATTGTTGGAAAAGAATCCGGAGAAGGGAAGAGAAGGACTCTACATAGAAATCTTCTTCTTCCAATCGGTACCATATCCAACCAGGCACCATCAGTACCGACACCAGCCCTTCCAGCCAGGCCAATTCCAGCTCCAAGAAGAAAGCCAGCCACTCGAGCACAGACCATTAAGACACCTGAGCCAGAAGAAACTGATGACAGTGAAGACGAATCAGTTATGATCCCGATCCACACATCCAGGTCCTCAGCATCAACTGTCAGAGCAGTTGATAGGCCAGCTGAGGGGGAAGAGAGAGCAGAGGAGATAGAGGAAGTGGATATTATGGATACAGAGGATACTGAGGAGACTGCTCAGGGTCATGAGCAGGAAGATACCCCTTCACCAGACCCTGGCTCAGGAGAAGAAACATCCCCAGAAAGAGACATTCCTGATGTTCCGGAACCTACCCCGAGACAAGACCCAGAAGATGACTCATCTGGAGATATTCCATCTGCACCATCGCCCCGAAGATCGACCCGGGAGAGACATAAACCCAAATGGATGAGAAGTGAAGAGTATGTTTTGTCCGCACAGCCACAGCCAGAATGGATGACAAGAGCGAGCTATCTCAGTTCCCTAATAGCTGAGGGTATTCTCGATAATGCTCAGGACAAGGCCCAGGACGCACTTCTCAACATCATTGCCGGAAAATGATGAGGACATCATTTCTCTGGGGGAGGAAATATGTAACAGGATATTGTATATATAGTTTTTAGGAATATAGTTTTAGCTCTTTTCATTTCAAGTAGTTGTATACATCTTCATTAGTTGTAGTTCAAAATGTATATGCTTGGGTTAAGAGTCCAAGCGGTTGGTCCAATTTTATTGAAGGGTGGACAGGTTAGTCTATTCCTGTCCCTTTGTCACCAACTCTCTAGCTTGTCAATACAATAGCTTTCAGCTTCCTAGCTGATTAACATTATGTAACTACAGCTTTCCTCCCTGACATTTGCACACTTTTTATTCACTCTGCTTATAACTCTGCACAGACAGGACATGGACTACATATAGTTCAGGTTAGTTATTTACATTATCTTTCCTAAATAGAATTCTAACTTATCATTTAAATATGTTATAAATAATGTAAATATTGTAAATACTTCCCTATGATATCAAATAATCAAGATATCTTCTATTTTATCAGTATAAAGTGTTTAACATGTAAGTATGTGTGAGAGCATGATTTGATTGGGAGTTTTGAATGTAAGGATTGAATTAGAAGTTGGTTTTCTATAATTTAAGGAAATGGTTGTCATGATTTTTGTATGTATGTATGTATGTATGTATGTATGTATGTATGTATGTATGTATATATTCAGGCATGATAGTTATGTTATTTACTTTTTATAGGAATGCCATAATCCTATATGATGTGGGTTTATAGACACAACCCGGTGTCACCCACAGAGTATGTATAAATCCTTTATCTTATCACTCACTTATGAATGAATTTATATGTATAAACTATGTGTTATAATTTAACACAACATGGTAGCATTTTATATATATTCCTAATCTTAGAGATAATAAGTATATATTTATGACGCCACACGGCTACTAGTATTCTTCTAACTATATGGTGTGTAAGTGATATATTCAGTTATGATAAGAGACATTTAATATATGTATTACTATTTGAAAGTTTAATATATTTAATATAATTTATCTACAACGAACTAGTGATGTGTAACTGTATGCGTTGCATATATGGATTATTGTGACTGCTCAAACTAGGAAATAATTAATATGCAGCCGTATGCTATTCTATGTACAGTATATAATGTTATATATTTTATTACAGGGTTGATTGATCAATTGTGATTGATAATGGAATAAATGTCACCTCAACAAACAACCGCAGCTTGTCATTTTTCATAATGAACCACCCCTGCTGACAATGGGCAGACACTATAAAACTGGTATAACTATTTACCATTACAGACCGCGTCCGTGGTCTAGTGGTACAGCGTCTGCCCGGAGAGCGGAAGGTCGGGGTTCGATCTCCGACCGCACCATACCGTAAGACGTTACAAGATCAGACTTGTTGTTACCCTAGCTGGCCCACGGCATTAAGGGGCTAAACCGATGACAGTCGGCTCGGAGTCAGAGTATCCATGTTCAACTGCGGCATGGTATCTCAGTTGGCTAGCACTATAAAATCGGCATTAGCCCGGACTAGTACAGCTACGCGCACACGCACGCACGCACGCACGCACGCACACACACGTTGCTGTATGCAATAATCATGAACGCGACGTTAATTCCGTTGCACCTCACCTCATTACCATTATCAACAGACATACATAAGCACATTCACGTCATTATATAAGTGCAATAACCTTGAACGCGACGTTATACCCATGTCATTTCTCTCTGACCCGTACATCATTTCACTCAGTCACCCATACTCTTCTGTCTTGCACTGTGTCTGTTTGTGGAACAGAGTGATACAAAATAGGAATTGAACGTGTTGATGACGATATAGAATAAGTCCACCTCATCACTCTGAACCATACATGTCTGAACATTCGATAAAATTACAGTTGGTTCTCATTTACCGTATATGATCGACGTGGCTTACTCTGTCAACAAAAATGTTTGTTTGTTTGTTTGTTTGTTTGTTAAACGCCGCACTCAGCAATATTCTAGCTATATGACGGCGGTGTGACATAATCCATTCTGGACAACACAATCCAGTGATTGCCATCATGAGCATCGTTCTACACAGTTTGGATACGCTGATATGCATCAACCAAGTCAGGGAGCCTGACCACCCGATTCATTTAGTCGTACAGTCGCCTTTTACAGCAAAGCAAGGTTTGATCAAGACCTATTCGGACCAGGATCTTCACGTATTGTAAACCTTAACGACGAAGTCGGAGGACACAACAAAATGGGGTCAGTTCCAGTTTCAATGTTTGTCCACGGAGTAAATATTAGGGTCAGGCGCTTCCCAAAAGTTACATCGTTATGAGTCGTGGAGAAAATGCCAATATAATAATAAGCTGAGGGGGGAGATATAAATTCAGTTTGGATTCAGGAAAGTTAGACATAGTTGAGTTATGGTTCTGCTTACAAACTGATGTAATTTTCTGCCTTTCAAAAGACTCGCCACACAGACTACCTTGTTTTACGTAAGGATAAGATATATAGATGAACCCCTTCTTTATTACAACCAGGAGCGACGTTTCGGTGCAGGTTCAAATAAAGAAGTTGTTCATACATATAGATTATCCTTACCTAGTACTCCCACTTCTAAATGCCTCTCAAAGAAGAAACATTATTTCCGGACAAGTCTGGGGCCATCCAACATAGATGACATTATAGACAGAAAGTTTACAAACAGCAGCCGATACATCGTCGGTGCATACGAGTTTTGTGATGCAAAATTATCATCAGATCAAGTTTGATTAAAATGTTCATTGGTGAAAAAGTAAGTTAATTCGCAACATAACTTCAGTACCAAGTGGCGGACTCTTTGATGTCTTCGTTGGACTTTGAAGCGTCTGCCTGGATAACGTCATTGAACGCTGGTCGTGTATTGTTCAGGGGTGAAAAGAGGTCAGTGGAGAGCAGCGTCCCTTGAATAACATTTCTGAACGTAAGAAATTGTAAACCATTGCCAACGTTGGCCAAGCACCTGAATGCTATCTCGGAAATGCTTACCAGTTTGGTGAAACCCAAAAGTACGGATATTGTGATGAGAAACATAACCAGAGCGAATCTTTGATCATTGGCTTCTGGCAATATCGACGACTGCGATGTTATCCTAAGTCTCCATAGGCTTAAGTTTTGGCTGATTTGTGGAACTGGGCGTAGTCCTAATCAATGCACTTAATATCTCGTCTGTAAGGTCATAAGCATTGAATATCAACAAGGAAAACGTAGGACGAACAACTTTATTATTTACACACATGAGTCGCACGAAAGTAGCTGAAGATACCAAGATTGGATTTCCTTAGATTGTAAGTAGGTCAGCTTCATGTTGAATGTTGACCGACATCATTGATCAGTGGGGCGTAGTGGTCAGTCTTATACCTGCATGCCGGACCATGGCTTGGCTGAAAGAAGAGTGAGTGAGTTTGATTTAATGTCTCTTTGAATTGTATGTCAGTGATATCAGCTTAATGTGTGAGAATAGTCAGAAGAGGTGCAGCTCTTATACGATGCCACGATCATAGGCCGCTGTATACTTGTAATTGATACGCTGCCTCTTGTTGCGTTGACAGACACGGCTGAAAATCAGATTGAATGGTTGAGAGAGTGCTGAAAATAGTGAATAAGAGAGGGTCTATATACCTGGCATGAACGCTATATGTTGTTTGTTGACATACACTCTGCGAGACATTGTTCAGTGGCTGAAACGGCTGAAAATCAGAGTGAATGGTTGAGAGAGTGCTGAAAAGTGACTGAGAGAAGTTGAAGCACCACCACTTGAAATGTGGGACGCACAAGTGATTATTCTTGCAGCCATTGTCAATTTGCAATGACTTAAATGGCATTGTTTTCACACTTGTTCCAAAGTGCCATGGAGGAAAACTGTTAAGTTATTCAAATTATGGCATTTAATTGTCAACATTTTTCAAGTTCGAAAATGTCGAGACTCAGCGCTGCCGATCGGAACATCGCCATAGGACGTATCCAAAGAGGGGAATCGCAGTTCTCTGTTGCACGCCACTTCAAAGTCCACCACAGCACCATTTGCCGCCTTTGAGACCGATACACACAGTTCAATTCCACTGCACACCGTCCGAGAACCGGCCGACCAAGAGTTACCACCCTGCACAGGATCGCTACTTTCGACTGTTCCACCTATGTCATCGCAATGCCACAGCTAGGGAGACTGCAGGACTCATCCCTGGTTTGAGGAGGATATCGGACCAGACTGTCGGGAATTATCTTCGCGAGGCTGGAATCCGACCCAAAAGACCAGGTATCGTCCCTGTTTTGCAACAGATCCATCGACAACGACGCTTGCGTTGGTGCCATACCTTGCAGCCTTGGAATTGGAATTGGAGAAACTGGAGACGGGTGTGGTTAGCAATGAATCACGATTTCTTGTTCACAGGCGAGATGGAAGACAACGTGTTTATAGTCGTCGAAATGAGCGTTTTGCCCCACACTGTGTACGTGAATTCGACAGTTTTGGTGGCGGTAGTGTCATGGTGTCGGGGGGCCATATCCTACACCACGAGATCTGACTTGGTTGTGGTTCAGGGAAATTTGACAGCAAATCGCTACATGAATCAAATTTTTCAACCCCACCTTCTTCCAATCATTGACCGCCAGAGCGAGTTGTTTCAACAGGACAACGCTCCACCGCGCACAGCTCGTGTCACGGTAGACTACCTCCATAATGCCAACATCAACGACTTTCCCTGGCCGTCGAGATCTCCATATCTCAACCCAATTGAACACCTCTGGGATGAACTCGGTCGACGTGACACACCGCTGACACTCAGACAACTGGCCAACGCGTTACAAGCAGAATGGCGCAGAACTCTGCAGGACAGAAATCGTACACTTATCCAGTCAGTGCCGAGGAGATGCAGAGCCGTGATTGCTGCCGCAACTTTGTGGTCTTATGTGACATGACAATGAACAGTTTCCAATGCCTTTGTACAACGACGACATGTGACTATCGAGCTCCAAAATTTCATATTTGTATCTGTGATATATGATTAAATATAAAGACTTTATTAGGTACAATACATTTACTAAAAATCTACATGTGCGTTTCTTTTTTTAAAGAGTGTAAGTGCAATAATTTTGGACACGACGTTAAACCCCATGTCACCTCACCTCCTTCTGGTGGGTTTTAGTGGAAGCACTACAGTAAAGACACGATGAAAATACAATGAATACTCACGGTTACATGACTTTACCAGCCTCTCTGGATACACGCAGAACTTTTTGCGTTGGCTGAAGATCTGATCTCTTGGACAGATTTCGATTCGAGGGATGTAGAATCGACATCTGATGTAGAGAGCAAGGTTATTGTTGTCTCGTGATATAACTTCAAATGGTTTGTTGCAGACAACGGCGCTGAACGGATCGTTAGTAACGTCACAACTGACCGCTGATACCAACAAGAGGATGGACAAGACGAGCTTCATCGTGACGATTGTCTGAAGCCTACGAACAGCTATAGTAAACTTGGTCAGCAACGTTTATGTTGTATTCCTTGACTGATCACGTGTCTTGTAACGTTGTGCCTCATTAGGCATAAAGAACAGTTAGTAGGCATGATTGGACGTCTCTAAATGCCATTTCTATGTCATCATGAGCTTGGTTTGTTTTGGCTTATTTTGCAATAGGTCACGTGGTTGAACGTACGGCAAAAACTATCTCACGATAAGATCACGAGAGAGAGAGAGAGAGGGAGAGAGAGCGAGAGAGATAGATAGAGAGAGAGAGAGTACAGAAAGTGTAACCCTGTGGCTATTTCTTCATCTTTCTAACGCTTAAGTACTCCAGATATATCCTTGATACGCTCGGGTACTTTACTTACCTAACGGCGCTTACTTTTTTATTTGATATTGATCTAAGTACTTATAATGGGTATATTTCAACATGTGAAAAATACCAGTCCAAGCCTTCGATTTTGCTCGGGATGAGTTCATCATGATGACTTTACGTTTACTGGCGTCTGTAACGTACTCATCACTATTGGAAAGTGATTCAGGAACACGTGGAACCATAAACAAACTCAGCTTTCAGCAAACAGTTCTTATGAATATTGAAAGTTTTTTGACACTTTTAAAAACTAACCATGTTAGGTGCTCCATGCATGTATGCATGGAATATGTCTCCTTATTTTGAATTAATATATCTGTTCAAGAATTAAATTATTTTAAGACATATTGGGGAGCGTTTTTCTTGTTCAGATGTACACGTGCACTTGATTTTAAGGGAAGCTGAACATGTTATGTGAACATGTTATGTGTTTTGCCTGAAGGGCGTTTTTCTACTACGGAATTATAACAATATTTCGTGGATTTCTGCGTGTCAGATTTTAGTCATCCTAAGCTCCAGGCAATACGAGACATCTAACCTGTTTTACCCTTTGGTTAAAGGAACCTTTGCCCGTGTATGTTTTTAACCGCCGACCCGCAATGTGGAATAAAAAGAGATTCCAGTATAGAGGTCTTTGTTCTTCCGACCGAGCCTGATATTGTCACTGAAAACAGTGAGTGGGTTCTTAACACGTAAACGCTTTCAAACATTTTAACATTCCCCTCATTGAAATTTTATCATGCTATCGACACCATTTCCTTACAAAAACAAATAAAAATGGGTACAATGATGTTTTAATTCCATTTTGAGACGGATTCAAAATTTTGAAAATTACATCTGTCACAAAGAAACGGATTTCTATAGTAGTTTTCATTCTCACAATATTATAAATCTCCTTAAGATAGAGACATGCTAATTAAACAATAAAACATATTACTTCAAACAGTTGAGAATAGGTTTTTAATAAGAGAGTGTATTTGCCTTAAACCTTTTCAGGCTTTTTCCTGAACATATGGTGAATTCTAAAAAATCCTATATTTCTTAAAGTTATATTTTTGCATATCAATATTCATCCAGAATGACAGTACTAAAATATAACACAGTGTTTGATCACCTGGTTGTACCTGGTAAGCACTTCCTGTAATTACAACATTTACGGTGTTGGAAAACGCATGTCTAATGCAGTGCAAATTTAAAAGGAGAATATTATCCTTTACCTACCTCAATAACAACGTTATAAGTACTTCCAGTAAACCATTTTTTACACAATCCTGTGCTGATAACTACCCGAATAAATGTTAACAAGTTAATCCTAAAAGTTAACACCCGGGAATAAAGGGGATCGATTATTTGCCTTCCAAAGGGCGGAAGCAAAAATAGTGTTGACAATCATACGAATGAATCACCGAAACTCAGTTACGAGACTTAAGTCAGAAAAGGTGAACAACTTAGTTATTTTCAAGACTTAAGGTTTTTTTCAGACTTAAGTTTTTTATGAATACCGCCCCAGGTGTTAGCGACAGGATAAGCACATGCCTCTCACCCAATCCGTTGCTAGATGCCGCACACCGGTACTCCTTCCTTCTAACTTTCATATTGTGATGTATTTAGGGTATGATATTTGTTTATGTATTTGGCGTATATCATTGGTAAATGTTTAGTTAAATAATAAATTTTACCTTTTGTTGTTTACTGGTACTACTTGTTGTCATGTTCCTCAATTCCTGTAGATAGCATTCTGGTTATTATAAAGTGCAATATTTTTATGCAAAGGAAATAAGAATTATCACTGACACCGAAAGTGAATGTTTGCAAAGTGATTCCCTGCGTAGCAGGCTGTGACCAGAATATATGTAGCAAGCTGTCATGTTGTCATCCGGAACAACAGACTCGCTATCAGGTTATGGAATGTTCCTTATCTTGCAGAGATTGTGCTGCATTTCGTAACCAAAACTAAACGAGTTTTGAAAACATTTTCATTTACAGCAAACATATTCCATCATCATATCATCCATCACTCGTAGCTCGATCGCCATGTGATACAAGCACCGCTTTGTTGTGCAACCACGTAGACCACTTATTTATACGTCAGGTGTTATTGTGTATTAATGGTTTAAATCTTGTTTATATGAACGTGAAATCATTCGACGCGTTTAATACATGAATTTGAGGGCACAATAATAAGTAGAGTTGTTTGTTGATTTAATGCAAAGAAAACGATATTTTTCGAAGTTGGAATAAAACTGTTATTATATTTACAGCACAGTTATAATAAATATCAATATAAGGTGAAAGAGACAATTACGCAAATAGGAATAGCTTCAATTTAATGTCAATTTTTAACTGTATTTATGTGTTCAACGACCTGAACAAATTTGTTTTTCTACGACCTCTTTAAAAATACGTCCTCGTTTGAACTCGTATTTTGCGCTTGACTGCCCCTATATGATATGATGATAGTTTATTTGGCAAAGGAGAATGATCAGTTTATCTGATATGACGAATACTAAAGAAAATACTCTACACGGATATATATACTTAACCGCAAAAGAAACGTCACCCCATTGTAACATTGCATGAAAAGTTGTCACATAAATATCTGGGTAATTTTTGTCAAAGTTTCTAAAATTTAACATCACCTTGTCCGGAAAAATGAAATTTGTTGACAAAATACCAAGCTGATGACAATAAAACCGCTCGCCCTAACGCATCACGGCAACGGCCATGGAAACCCGATGCACGGGAGTTCCGTGCAAATTGAAATGCACATGCATTCCCCAATTTTTTGCTCTATTAAAAATCCATCCAGATCGGATATCATTCATTCGTTATTGAATTGCTACCACGTGCCAAGATTGACAAGAAATCAGCGACACCAAGCCCTTGGACGATTGCAATCTGGACAAACCGCCCGGCAAGTAGCCAATGCATTTCAACTCCACGTCAGGACCATATACAGGCGCCAGCAACAGTACCAGACCACCAAAACTACAGATGACCGACCACGTAGTGGAAGACCAAGGGTCACCAACCGACGTCAGGATCGTCCGATTGTGCGACAGCAATTTCAAGACCGCTTTGTTACCGCTGCGGAAACTGCTCGACAGACCATGGGGACACAACAGCGATACATTAGTGCAGACACCGCGCATCGACGATTGATGAGCATACGCCTCCACTGTCACAGGCCACACTGAGGACCCATTCTGACACCACGTCATCGCCGAGACCGTCTTCAGTGGGCAACACAGAACCAGCATTGGCGCCACCAGCAGTGGATGAGAGTCCTCTTCTCGGACGAGAGCCGAGTCTGGCGACGCCGTGGGAAACGTTATTCGGATGCTTGTGTTGTTGAGAGCGACTCGTGGGGTGGTCCGAGCATCATGGGATGGGGTGGAATTGGCCGACAACTCCAGCTGAACTGCATCAGGCGTTCCTCAGAGTGTGGACTCAAGTGCCTATGGCCTTCATCAACCACCTCATCCATTCCATGTATCGACGTTGCATGGCAGTCATCAATGCACATGGCGGACACACAAGATACTGTCTTGTGATGCCATTTTCTCAGAGCCTAGTGTTGTGTTTCACTTTAAGAACATTCGACACTTTCATTTTGAACCTTGGTGATCAGTTTTGCCTAGTTTCATCTTTTTAATATGTCTCAAAGTATGTTTTCAGTGTTTGGACAAAAAATGTTTCTCATATATCTATCCATGGTGACGTTTTCTTTGTGAGAGAGAAGCCCCAGTAAGATTTTGTTGAAGATTACGGCTTCTGTTACTTGTAGTACATTTAGTGACATTTGTTTGTTCAAATTCGTCAAACCTACTTAAAGAAATAATGTTTCCCGAACATTTCCAAATATTTCCGGCTTTGGTGGAATGAAGGTTGTTACAAAAGGGAGAACACTCTCGTCACTTATAACGTTAGGTTTTTAGATAATCACAACTGTTTTGTGATTTAGCCTTGTTTATTGCGTCTTCTAATATTTTTTCTGGGGTAGTTTCTTTCTAATTGTAAATCCATCAATTCATTGAGACTATATTGTGTACGATCTGAATAGATTCTACGTGCGAATGAGTAAGAGACACTGTTTTTTGTATGACGGGATGAGAGAAAGTGTCACTGAGATATTGTTTGCGATTGGTTGGTTTATAATATACATTGTATTGTTATACATTGTATATATATTGTTTGATATTAAAACCAATACACCTAGGAAGGAAAGACTGTTTATCGTTCAAAAGTAAAAAGTATACGTGGGTGGAGTTTCTGTAGAATATCTCTCAAACAATGTCACTCTAATTTCAGTCAGTTTCCACAGAACAAAACAATCATCTAAAAATATTTTCCATTTGTTTTGAAATCCCTGTCCAAATTCAATTCCGAATTGTTCATCAATCTGTGAGTACAATTTTCCCCCAAAATATCCAAGTACAAATGTCACATAACCTGGGGCCATTTTTATCCCAGTTGCTGTGCCTTAATTTTGTTCATAATGAGCAGCATCACAATTCAATTTAATATTGTTCAGAACACATCTACTACTATCGATAATGAGTTCCGAGGTAATAATAAAGGTTCTCGGGTTTTGGGAACGGTGTTTGTTTATCCAATATTCAGCTGTTTCTATACCGAGATCATGAGGAGTGTTTGAATATATAATTTAATATATACATGACATGTCTGTGTCTTGATACATGGAACTGTGTCTTCCTATACCAGCCACTTGAAATCGCCACCACCCGGAGGGCGGAAGGTCCGGGGTTCGATCCCCGGCCGCGTCATACCAAAAGACGTTGAA